CCTTATAAGTTACATTACATTCATCTAAATGACAGGATGCTCTTCAACATAGTTTGTTATAGTGCACATATTTAGGACTGTGATGAAAAAAACTGCAAGTAAACATCTTTTCTCTAATTGTAACAATAGAAAAGTAGGCATTATACATTTAGGTTATGAAGAAATATTTTTCAATCTCTCTTTGTTTATAATTTTTGATTCTGCCATTTTCAGTTGACTGCTTCTTTCAATAATTTTGTTTCCTAACTTCATTTTTTTGTTTGGTGAATTAACTGCTAAAGAGGAGAACTTCAAGTTTAGACAAAGCCATTTAATACTGATCAATAACTCTTCAAAACTGAAAGCAAAATCATCAAGTTACCTGCAAAGTAATAGCACTTCAGCCTTTGTAGCATGGAGACGTGAATTGGCATATGCAGAAGCAGATTTCAGCATTTGTAGCTTCCATTCAAGCAATTCTTTGGGTAAGATTTCAACCAGAACCTGTGCCTTAAAATCATCATTTATCTTTCCACAATTTGTAGCATGTAAATGAAAAACAGAATTTGATCTTAATATGATCTAAAGAAAGATGTCTAATGCGCTCTAAAACACATCTTACACAGACGTAAGATGATGCAGCAAAAATATCCTGTGACAGCTTTCCAACGACAGATTGTCCCAGAGGAATGCCCTTCACTACATTATCCATCAGCATTCTCAAATGGTCACCTAAAGAAATGAATGACAACTATAAAAGTTAGAAACTGCAATTAATATGACAATCCAGACGGCATAACCGCCTACATTTAAGACATATTTCTCTTAGGGATGCAAATAACAGCCAAGAAAACGAAAGTTGAAGACCAAGGCAGCAAACCTGTGGTTAAGCTCAACATGGAATTTCTTGCCAAAAGAAAGAATTCATCTGGAATGCTTTGCAATAAAGGTAGAAGAGGTTTCAGTTGAGACTTGCCAAAAGATGTAGCTGTGAATACAAAAATTCAAACCGTGAATTACATATGATCAAAAGGACTAAAGACTAAGAGTGACCAACTGAATGTCATCTACAATGACAGCCATTTTGGCTTGGTACAAAGGCAAGTAAAGCATTTTTGCAAAGAAGGATCTACATCTACCAAAGGCACAGCAGTTTTGGTAAACCAATTGTTTGGCAACTGATTCCATTTATAACTTTTAGGAAGGAAATTATAACAGCACACCTGTTAATATTGCAAAAATATAATTACAACATCAAGAAATGCTGTTTGTAAAGAATTACAACAAATCTAGTCCTTACCTGGGTTAGACAAGATAAGTAGGAGATCAATATCAGGGTTACGGTTTGAAACAGCTAAGGCAAGGCATCCTCCAAGGGATTCCCCAA